CTCTTCTGTCAAGGCCCCAGCACAGCATTTATGTCATTCCTGGCTGCCTGAAGGGTGGGGGAGGAGGCAGAGCGGCTCCTTACCTCGACATTGCCAGAAGTGCCCTACAAGTGCTAAAACAGGCCACGCTCCTTATGACTCCACAGATCAAAAGTCACGGCTGTTAAACAGAGCAAGGCTGAGAATCAAGACCCTTGAGTCATTCCCCCAAGGGCACGACGGTCGGGGAGCCAAAATCTCCTGGATATTCCAGGCTCCAAGACCATCAAACTTGCTATGACCAGGGCTAGGGCGTTCTCGGTGGCGGCTCCTATCTGGTGGAATGAGCTCCCGGAGGAGATCTGGGCCCTGCGGGACCTTGTGCAGTTCCGCAGGGCCTGTAAGACGAAGCTCTTCCACCAGGCTTTCGAGTAGGAGCCGCCACCACCACCATTCCATCAACGCCTTCCCACCACCGCACACCGTCACCATTGGTGCGGGTATCATCGGAAGGAGCGGGACGTCCCTAGGGGATGACAGGGTTGTGGGGACGTACACTGCTGTTGTTATTCAGATATATAACATCTTAGAACACCATCTTGGTTTACGATTTGGAGTAAGTATTAGAGCAACGAAAATCTATTTTTAAGAATTTTAATTAATTATAGTATGTTATTATTGTATTTATACTGTTTTTATTGTTGTGATCTGGCATTTATGCCTCTGTTAGCCGCCCTGAGCCTTCGGGGAGGGCGGGATACAAAATCCAAATAAATAAATAAATAAATTCAAGTTACAGATTGAGTGCAAATCCATTTTCTAAAACGGAACGAGAACGGAACGTAAAAGGCTCGGCACGTACGTTTGGCGTACACGTCTCGGCAGGACACTCCCGTGATCTCCAGCTTCCGCAGGTTCTCGCAGACGCCGTACTCTGCAATTACAGAGAGAACTTTACCGACAGGTCGTAACTGCACATCTTGATCTTTTCTGTCACGGCATCTGCTGCCCAGAGACTTTCAGGTTACAGCACAAAGATTTTATGCTGCCTTTCAATAAAGAGTCCCCAGGGCTTATGCTTAAGAAAGCACCTATGAGTTAAACGTAAAAACGTAACATAAGAGAAGGTAGTGTTGGATCAGGCCAATGGCCCATCCAGTCCAACACTCTGTGTCACACGGTGGACAAAAATACCAGGTGCCATCAGGAGGTCCAGCAGTGGGGCCAGGACACTAGAAGCCCTCTATAACGATTTCATGTTTAACTGTGTGTGTGACTTTAAAAGTTTGGATGCATGGCTGTATGATAGTCTAGAGTAGTGGAAACAAGCAAGTGGTGTGATTGGTGAGTGACAGAGAGGGGGAGGGGTTTTGGAAATGATTCTGTGTGGATGAGCAGATATGTCAGTCAAGAGTGTCAGTTAGAGATATGACAGTTGATGAAGACAGTTGATGTTCAGTTAAGGAGTTAGACAGGGAGAAGAGTGAAGCATCCCTGTGTGGGATGAGTTTAGTTCTGAGGTCTGAAGCAGAGACCTTCTTGTGTGTGATATGAGAGTTAAGTGCTGTGTCTGAAAGAAAGTGACAAGCAGTTCTGTGTTGAAACAGTTATAAGCTGAAGCTGAGTGTCTAGGAAACAGTAAAGATTATATGGACTTAAAGAAAAAAGTGTTACAAAGTTACATGCCCAGATCCCTGACAGTGGGAGAGAAAAGTGTGTGATCTTCATTTGTGAACTAAGTTGTCCAATTTAATGGAGAAGAGGCACATATCCCCCAAGATCATGGCTGTGTTATTATTTGTCAAGCACAAAATCCTTTGCAGTTCACCCTTCTTCTGCTCCTGCACAGTTGGGCCAAGATTGGCAACAATAGTTCCCCAGGAGCAAATAGCTGGGCTGGAGGGTGGAGTCTATGGCACTGTAACCTGTCTGATGTCCCCCTCTCCGGCCAGTTCTGAAAGAAATTCTTCCCAGGAAACACATAGACCCTCGTGAACACCTAAACCCTCGACTTACCTACCCAGTGACAGAAATATTATATTATAGAGGTTTGGAAAGCCTTAAATTTCCTGGTGGCAGCCGGAATACCCAGTAAAATAAAATAAAAGGAACACTTTTAAAGTAAAACCAGACCTCCCCAGTTAAGGGGTCGTCACAACATCATACTTGGGTGGTTTGAGATATGTGGATCTGCTTTATTTATTTATTTTTCTTGATTTCTACCCCACCATCCCCTGCACCACAGGGCTCAGGGCAGGTTCCAACAATATGATAAAATACGATACAATAATGAAGCGAAGCCATCCATGCTTGTAGCTGCCACCACCTCCTGTGGCAGGGAATTCCATGCATTAATCACTCTGTGTTTGGAAACACACTGATGTAGTCTTCCCACCAGCTCCAGAAGGTGGTCAGTAAATTACAGTAAAGAGGGCCAATAATCATTATTAGGGGTATGCCAAACAAAACAAAACAAAAATCATCGACTGGTGGAGGACACAGAAAGAGAGAGCCACCACACACGGTGTAGTGGTGAAGAGCAATGGCCTCTAATGGCCTCGCGGGGAGGGCGGGGTATAAATATAATGAAATAAATAAATAAATAATATGGAGGACCAGTTTTGCTTCCCCACTCCTCCTCCACCTGAAGACAGCTGGGTGACCTTGGGCCATTCCCAGTTCTCTCCGAATTCTCTCAGTCCCACCAGCTTCACAAGATGACTGTTGTGGGGAGAGGAAGGGAAAGCCATTGTAAGCCGCTTTGAGAGACTCCTTAGGGCAGAGAAAAGCGGGGTATAAAAAGCCAACTCTTCTTCTTCTACAGATGAATAACCCCAGGGAGGGAGCACCAAAGTTTTGTTTCCACGTACTCTGGACCTCTCTTCTACCAATATCAGTCTTTGCTGATGATTCTGAGTTTACTAATAAAGACTGAACAGTTCCACTGCTGTATCAGTAACAGTAACAGCAAAAAACAAGGGGCAGCAGTATGACAATATCAGTATACAAAAAAATTACTGCAACAGTGCAAAGATGAAAACCTCACAGATGTTGTACATAATATATAGTCACTTCATGGCGTTTATTCTTTTCACAGAAGGACGTCAACAGACAGTCATTGAAGAAGGACGAACGTCCCCAGAGCTAATCGTTCGTTTCAAACTCCAAACATCACAAGACCTTTTCATAATAAACTCTTTCCAGTTCAATGCATAATTTCAAAAACCTCACAGCAGAATGAATAAACCGGGCAGAAATTATGCATTGAACGTGATGTTTGGATTCAGAACTGAGACTGTTGTTTGATAAAGAGAGTTCGAAACGAACGATTAGCTCTGGGGACGTTCGTCCTTCTTCAATGACAGTCTGTTGACGTCCTTCTGTGAAAAGAATAAACACCATGAAGTGACTATATATTATGTACAACATCTGTGAGGTTTTCATCTTTGCACTGTTGCAGTAATTCTTTTGTATACTGTATCAGTAACAGTGGCACACTGGTGTGCTTTGAACACCGACACAACGGTATGTTGCAGGCATGCACAAACTGTGACTTTTTGTGTGTGTGTGACTTAAAACTAATAAGGTGTGGAGGTCCTTCGGGAACTTTGTTTCCTATCAGACATCACATTTTCCCGTTTTCGAAATCAAAATGATTGGGGGGGCGGGGGGCGGTTTGAGCCCTGACCTGGATAGCCCAGGAAAGCCTGATCTCATCAGCTCTTGGAAACTAAGCAGGGTCGACTCTGGCAAGCACTTGGATGGGAGACCTCCAAGGAATACCAGCAATTAGGAGGTGGGGGCAGGCTTCGTTCAGCCACCTCTCTGAATATCCTCCAGGCCCCCTGTCACGGCTCAGGTGGGGTGTCACCTGACGCTGCCACCACTCTGGTTCCAGGCTCCCTTGAGAAGGCCCAGAGCACCCTCCCAAAACCTTCTGACCTCCCTTTTGGCCGAATAATAGGCATAAGGACCAGGCAGAGTGAACAATGAAAAGAGTTTTATTTTATAAGAGGTCAAACAAACAAGGTGCAGAAATATAACAGTAAGTGGGTGAAAAGAAAAGAAATCAAATGCCCTAATGCGTCTAAATATATACTGTCCCT